CCCCAAAACCCCAAAACCCCAAAACCCCAAAACCCCGGAGTAGGGTCACAATTTAGAAAGAAATTACGTAATTATATTAAAAATGAGTTCTATTAAAACTGAACTTGAGAAACACATTTCTAATTCAGGAATTAACTGTGATGAATTAAGAAAGAATTCTTGGAGAGAGACATATGAGAGAGACCTTAATATAATGAAGCAGGTTGCCGAAGACCCAATTACAAAATTCAGAACTCACTTCTACAATCTTTCAAGAGAAGATATGTTTAAATACAATATCATGAGGGCAGCTCGTATGAAAGAATTGGGCTACGAAGGTAAAGTACCTCATGTCGACAAAGAAAACTATGGAACTTTCTCTATTGCTATCAACTCTCTGTACCCAACAAGTGTGCACCATGGAATGTTTGAGTCTATTGTGAAGGTGTTAGGTTCAGACCAGCAAGTCTCAGAAGTTTGGGATGATATTGTAGATTATAAGATTTTAGGATGCTATGCCCAGACCGAAATCGGTCATGGCTCTGATGTCCAAGGACTTGAAACCGAAGCTATCTATGATGAAGCCACTGAGGAATTTATCATCAATTCTCCATCCGTCAAGGCATACAAGTTCTGGCCAGGAGATCTTGGGAAAATGGCCAATCACGCAGTAGTGTTTGCGAAGATGATTATCAAAGGAGAAGCTTATGGCATTCACGCTTTCTTCTTTAGAATCAGAGACTCTGAATCGCACACTCCATTAAAAGGAATTGAGATAGGTGATATTGGACCAAAGTACGGTTATCCTTACAAGGATAATGGATACATGGCTTTTAGCGAGTTTAGAGTACCAAGATCTGCGATCCTATCCAGATATGTGAGCGTGTCCAAAGACGGAATGATCGAGCTTAAAGGAGACCCAAGAATTGGCTATGCTACAATGCTCTGGATTAGAGTGCAGCTGTTGTTCTTTGGATGGCAAGTCAAGTTTTCCAATATTGCTCAATGTATGAGATACACATTGAAGAGAAAGCAATTTAAATCACTGCCTGGAACAGATATCGAGAGACCAATCTTCGATTATCAAGCGACTCAAGACAAGATTGTTTCAGCTATTTGCTACTCTTACGCAAACTTAACGATCTCCCACTTTTGTATGGACACATTCTACAAGATGGAAGAAAAAGTAAAGAACGAAGATTTCTCAATGATGAATGATCTCCATGTCTTAATCAGTTCTTTGAAAGCTTATTGTATGGACTATGATATGACTACTTTGTATAACCTCAGAGAACTTCAAGGAGGGCATGGGTATTTATACCTGGCTAACATCCCTGGATGGATTGATGCTTGGTCTCCCAATGTGACTCTTGAAGGCGATGGATATGTCCTGTTCCAGCAAACATCGAGAAAATTGATGAAAAAGCTCAAATCTGTGGCTAAAGGAAAATCTATCGATAAGTAAGATTGCATAAGTAATTATAGAACTTTCTATCCATACATGGATCAGGTACTATCAGTCGAAGGATTGACTGAATCAGATGCAGACATTAGAGAAACTCACAAACTTTGTGAAATTCTGAGAGTCGCCATCAGCTATGAGCTTCTCGGACTCTCTAAGAACCTTACAAAGGAAGATCAGCATTCTTTTGACACAAAATGGAACAAGATATACCAAGTTGAGCTAGCCAACCTAGCTAAGCTGCACGCAGTATATATGACTTCTCTGTCATTTGCAGATCAGATTCCTTCTCTTTCAACAGACAAGCTTACTCAAGAAGTCTTGACTAAGGTGTGTAACGTCTACATCACGGAAGAGATCATGAAGTTTGCTCAGACTGCTCTGCTCGAGGGATATATCAATGGCGAACAAATGGTCAATATTCAGAACTACCGCACTGAGTTGGTAGAATCCTTAAAGCCACATGTGATTGCTTTGGCTGAGTCACAGGTCATCCATGACAGGATGACACAGAGCACAGCTTTGAGTGGGTATGACTCTGACTACGCTTCTAATTTATATGAGATGGCGATGCAGAACACTTTAAACGCCACTCACAAGATGCCCAACATTGACAGACAGTTGAAACCACTATCAAAGAAATTATCAAATTTCGCTAAGATCTAAGTTCAACTACGGAATGATCAATAGGGGTTTTGGGGTTTTGGGGTTTTGGGGTTTTGGGG